CGACGAGGCACTACGACAGAACATAACCAACATAAGCAGGTCACCCTTCACGGAGGAGATCGAGCAGGCAGAGCCTCCACGCGAGTTCAGCATGCCACATTTCACATCTTTCAAAGGGGATGAAGACCCGGAGAGACACTTAAAACGTTACCAAAGTGCAATGATCCTTTATCGAAACAACGATGATCTCATATGCAAGATATTCGCCACCACTCTACAAGGCGAAGTGCAAGATTGGTTCTACACCTTGCCGCCACAATCCATCTGGAATTTCTACGAACTTTCTTTGGTTTTCACCAAAGAATATTCATCCTATCGCTCGATCAAAAAGAAGTTTGACCATTTGTTCGACGTCAAGAAGAACCCAAAGGAGTCGCTTCGCGACTATGTGAGGAGGTTCAAAGTAGAGAAAGCAAAAATAGTCTGATGCAACGACTCGATAGCTAGAGCAGCCTTCCAAAAAGGACTTCCAGCAAACCACCCGCTATTCGGAAAATTGATCATGAAAGAAGATCTAACTCTGGCAGACTCTTTTGCTTTAGCAGAGAAGCATGCACTTTGGGATGAGGCTCGCCAATGCATATTCAAGGACTTGAAGAAGTACCCAACATCACCTCCCTAGAAGCAGCGGAGGACTTATTCGCATGTTTGACGGTATCTAAAGTAACAATAAGCTCTACCATTATGCGAGAAGAGTTGGGGGCCCGACTACCTGTATTCTACAGTTACCTGTAGTCATCATCATGACGCACTATTCCGTCGAATCCAAACCGGCGACGATAAAGGCGTAGACCCTGGCAGATGCAAAGTTTTCTGACGAACGTAACAACTCGGCCCAACGATGCCCCGAAGGCAGTCGATCACACTTTAGCCGCACATATTCCCTCAATGGAGATTTCTGGCATTCGCATGTCAACAGCGCATCCAACTACAAAGGCTCGCGAGCAGCCGTGGTTCGTGGCAACCCACTACTTCACCAAATAGGTGGAAGCAGAGCCCATGACGACCATGATTCAGACGGACATAGAGCGCTTCATATGGAAGAACATCATTTACCGATTTGGCATCCCTTAATCCATCGTCACTAACAACAGCTTGCAATTCATGGGCAAAGATTTGGCGAAGTTCTTCCAAAAATATGGCATCAAGCAGCATATGTCCATGCCGAGATATCCTCAAGGCAATAGGCAGGCCGAAACATCCAAAAAGATGGATCTCATCTGGGAAGGTCTGTACAAGCTCAGCAGAATAGGCGGCAAAAGTAATTATACCCCCGCTACCATGAAACGATAAAAAGATCGAAAAGTAGTGGAGCGCCTACAATCTGAAGAAGTACCATGTGTGACCTCCCACTACATCAAAGCCCGAAAACTCAAGAAGCTCGACGGGCACCACCTCACAAGTCAAGGACTATCCAGTTGTTATGCAGTTCCTACCTTACAGCTAAGTTCTCATTCGTTTCACTCGTTTTTCAATGAGGAATTCAGAAGTAATCACAACTTGGCTCGGCTGCATGCTTATAACAACTGATCACTCCGGCACTTCAAAAGAAGATTGCGCCCTTCTTAGGGACCCATCGCAGGAATTGCGCCCCCCGAGGGACCAACCATGCTCTCCAGTGCGAGAGGGTAAACTAATTGCTCTCCAGTGCGAGAGGGTAAACCAATTCCCCGACACCCATATGGGTCAGCTCTCCAAGACGAGAGGATAAACTTTACACTCCGAATATCCAGATGTGGATGAGCTTGGCTGCCCTAGTATAACTAGATGCACAATGGCTTGCGCCGGGATTCCTAGAAGTAGCCGCAATGGTCTTTTTCAAGGCTTAGCTAATTGAAGGATTTTGGGTCTCTTGGCCTAATCCGTGGGGAACCGGGCCCTAGAGACGGAGAGGGCACATTACGCAGTACATTCGATGGACGGCTGCCCTGGAATCCTAAAGCTACTACCGAGTGCACTAAGGTAGCCTACGGATTCCGGAAGACTGCCTACGGCTTGCCCTTTGAGCAGTAAAGCCGCGCTAGACTTATGCAACCGCACATTCTTGTGAAAGGTTAAACAAGCTAGCGCGCATATACGAAGTTTTATCCACTGCCGACATGCTACGTAGTCGATAAGCTTCACCTCTGCCAAGCGCGGAACAACCTACACCAAGTCCTAAAGTGTTGTGATACTTGCTACGCAACCTACGGAATTGAAGAAAGTCAAGGTTAACAACCTAGTGGTTACGCGAACTTGTCTGCTTCTGTAAGTAAGGCATCCGGCTGCCAACCCTATGGCTAACAACTTTGCAAAGTTCTACACCAACACTTGCGGCTGCATAGGCTACGCGAGCTTGTCTGCTTATAAAAAAGTAGCATGCCTGCCACTGGTCTATCAAGTCTAAAGGTTAGGGCATGAACAAAAGAAGTGAAGATGAAGACAAACGAAGGAAAACATGTTTATAAACAACTAGCAAAGGCCGAAGGAGTTCAAGCAAAACAAGAGCTACAAGGAAAAACAAAGAAAATCCTAAAGGCTACCTAAAATACTACACTACAGCAGCTTGGACATCCCACGACTACTCGGTCGCCACACCTTCAACAGTCGTAACGCTCTTAGCAGCGGCATCATCCGGCCCTTCACCCCCGGCTGCCCCAGTCTGGGCACTAACTTCTCCAACTACTTCACCAATGGAAGCCTTAAAAATAAAAGCAAGCAAGTCTTCTGGAGAAATAGAGAAGCTCATCCACTCCATTCTTAGCATAAGCAGCAAAACGAAGCTCAGAAATTGCAAGCTTAAGATCTTGAATCTAAGGCGAATCAATCTCAGCAGCAAAGGGAGCAGGCTTTGGCGCCACTTTAGCAGCAGAGTCCACCTTACCACTCTTCATAATAGCAAGTCTCTACAAAGGTGAACCGAACTTGGCTCCCAAAGAACGTCCTGGTACAGACTTCGGCACTAGGGGCATGATAAAACCTTTACGCTGAGCAATCTTATCCACAATTGTACTAGCCATTCTCAACATGGAAGACGCCACATGCTCAGATCTAGCAACCTTATTTTTCTTCCCATTGGAAGAAGTCATGTCAATCACATACCTCTCGGTAGCAAGCGGACCCTCATGAGCAGCAGAAGAAGTCTTTAGTTTTTTCTTAACTGGCATCTCATGAGCAGGCGGGGAAGATCTCTTCTTTCCATCTTCATTCATAGTAAGCTCCACGACAGCGATCAGACGAGCCAATGCATCCGCCTTGATCCTCTTTACCTCTTCTTTCTAGAGTAGCCCACCTTTCTTTCAGCAAAGAGGACTAAGCAGCCAACGACATTCATGGTACTCAGCAAGGGAGCTCAACCCAGCATTCCAGCAGGCAGGAGGCCTGCATGCCCAACATTCCAGCAGCCCATGAGACCCGCAATCTTCTTATTTCTCTCAATCGCCAGCCTGGCCCGAGTCAGGTCCAAGAGCCTAAAGGACATGAGCCATGCGGCTCGCCTAGCACTGCGCCCTAGCGCCACAATCCTCGACCCCAGCTGCATAAGCTGCCCTTGGCTCAAGCCAAGCCAATCTACCCAAGCAGTGGTCCCTGCCACAACATCTCCTCAACCCATGTCGAGCCAGCTCCTGGCCCCTGCCAGCCGACGTGCCGCACCACCCCAACGGCTACCCCGCAATAGCACTATCCAAGAATAAGGCAAGAAAAATTAAATTTTTCTTACATTGGTGCGGCACGAAGAAGACGAAGAAAGCAACGAAAGATGGTCCTTTGCACGGGCAAGATGTAGAAGATTGCTAGAGGAGGGGGAACAAATATCCTCTAAGCTATCTCTCTCTTGTAGGATAGAATAAATCGCTCTCTAAAGTTGATTTAATAACCCACTTAAGGTGGACTTAAATAGGCTTTGAGAGAAATTTATTTCCTTTTCCTAGAAGGATCTAATTTCCTATTAAAGAGAGAATCAACATCAAAATAGGAAGCAGTCTTAAGTTTCCTAAAGCAAGAAGATCTCTACACCTGCTGCCCTTTTCTGCGAGCAGCCCAACAGGTGTAGGGGCATTTGTGGAGCCAAAATATTCACTAGGCGACACGTGGACTTTTGGACAAAAGAGAACAAAAATACCCTCGAGGCATACCGGGTTTCCTACACGCAAGCAGTGGAGAATCGTCCATCAACCAAGTCAGGAGTACCCAAAATGGGTAACAATTCAAAACCTATTTCATTCCATATATGTTTTTACCTCATTTTTTCCTTATTCAATTAGCCATTTATTTCAAACATTCCATAACATCCTCAACCAATTAATATAATCAATATATTAAAGGCTAATTACATCACCAAATTAAGCCCAAAAATCACCCTAAAGGCCGGTTATCCCTTCTCCAAAGGGAGCCGGCCATTTCCTTCTTTTTTCACCATAATTTTCCTTTTTGTGACATTGATTAGCCAATTATACAAAAAACCACCAAAACATTCATTTTATGTTTAATAGCCAAATAAATTGACTAATTAAACCTAAATCAAACCCAAAAAACCCTAGCCACCTCCTATCCCTATAAATATACTCTCATTTCTCACCAAAAAGCCAATTCCAATACTCTTGCAAAATTCCCAAAATTCTCTAAACACTATTTCTCTCTAAATTCTAACTTTGGCATCGGAGGTTCTTCGGCCAAAACCCCCCCATTCATCGTGGGCGCGTGAGGCTTGTGGCCATAACCAAAGGTGTTATTTATTTTGTAGGTGCAATTTTGTCCAAGATGAAGGGGGAAGAAATTTGCATCCACACCTACTCTTTTGGATAAAGTGACGCTACCCCCTTGATTTTTTATTTTCCTTTTGCCTATATTTTCCTTCTCATTCTTTAATATTGTGCAGTAATCAAAACTTTTTTGTTTACTATTTAAGTAATCCTTTCAGGAATGGTTCTTCTTAAAGCACATCTAATTTGAAACTGATTTGTTTTGATTGATGTTTAGGAAATATGTTCTGGCAAAGAAAATTGTAGGATCAGCCGAAATGTTGAAAATGGAAATGGGGAATAGGAATGGTATATCAATTAAGTAGACAAAGATCATTAACTAAGTCTTGCAGCTTCCCTCTTTTGCTAATACAATACTAAATTATTTATATAATTTAAGATATAATTACTTTGTTTACAATTGAGCGTGCTTTACACATGGCCTCCAATGGCACAGCTTTAGGCATGGTGAGTCCTTTACCTTCCGTCATATCAACCTCCTCCTCGCCAACTCTCTCCCACTCGAAACATTGGATCAATGACCCTAAAGTCAATCCCACCACACGTTGGGCGAGTCCTGCTCCTGGACAAGCCCTTCTTCCCGATCCAAATGGCATAAGCTTATGCGACATATCCTCACCGCTTTCGAACCTCTCAGGCTTGAAGCTTTCAGGATCGTCCCACAACTTTGGGTCCCTGTGTATGGCCCATGCATTGATCAATACTATTGTGTCACGCGGCACGTCAAATCCTCCAATAGTACAGTCTTCGGATGAAAGATGTGGAACTAGCAGTGGCGCCGCTGGGCATAATCGAAAGGTCTCAGAGACAATGCTTTGCAGGTATGGTAGTTTAGAGATATCTGGTTCTTCCACCAAGTGCTCTTGACCCAATTGAGCATCCATTTCGGCTCTAGCCTTTTTTAGCACACGCGGATGGTTAAGCAAATTCGACATAGCCCATTCTAATGTAACAGCTGATGTATCAGTACCCGCCAACAGCATAACCTGAATATTGCCCTTAAGTTAGCCACTTACTTGGCAAGGAAAAATAGAACACACTCACACCCCAATGAAATGCAATATATATACCATTGAAGTGCATAACGCCATTTTGTATTTCTTTCTTATTAGCTATGATCACTATCATTCTGTAATTGTAATCCAAGATGTTCTTTTCAGAATGCTGTGATATGGTTAACAGTCACCATCTTGCAGCTTCATCTAAGTGTGACCACTGTTCTAAAAATCCCCGCCTAGCGCCGCCTAGGCCCCGCCTAGGCGCTAGGCCCCAGCCCACCGCCCCGATTAATGCCTAGGCCCGAGCCCACCGCCTAGACCAGCTAGGCACCCGCCTAGCCCGCCTAGGCACCCGCCTAGACCCGCCTAGGTTGCAACTCACTTAAACAGAAAATACATAACTTTCATTTTGCATTTTGTTTTTTTCCAATAAATTGTAAGAGACTTGTTGCATACTTGAATGAACAAACATTATATCCTTATTTCACATGTTTTCATTATGTTCCAATACTTCATGATATATATGCATTCTATTTTGTAGTTTATGATGAAATTATATATATTTCAAGTAGAAGCAGACACTTATTTACCTGAAATATGATAGATTTACTTAAATCCGCCTAGTCCGCCTAGGCTCCCGCCTAGGCCCCGCCTAGCTGCCTAGGCGCTAGGCCCCAGCCTGCCGCCCGACTAGCGCTTAGCGACTTTTAGAACCTTGAGTGTGACTACTGACCTAATTAAATTTAATGAGAAAGCGATAAATAGTGAATATGCATGTGGCCAGGTGTCATATTGGCAAACCGATGATCTGCTACCGTGACAAAAATCAATACGCTACCAAATATTCTACTGTGACTAATATCACTGCTGTCGCCAACTTTCACTGAGTGCCATAATAAATTCAACTTTATGATAAAAAAAAAAATTCATGAGATATCATTTTGAACTAACCAGAATAAGTCCCTTGATGATTTGATCAGTGTAATACTTAGGCTGTGACTCCTGAAGAGAAAGCAAATGATCAATCATGGTACTAGTATTTCTACCCTTCTTGTTCCTGTGCTCATCGATGAGACCTTGCAAAAACGCATCGGTCATCTTAGCCAACCTCATAACCCTCTTCTCATACGCATCGCTCCCAACCCAGTTCAAAATGGGCAAAAAATCGGCTGGGTTGGCCGCCCCACTATGAGCAAAAGCCTCCTTCATAATCTGCCTAAATTGCTTCGCCTCCTCTTTGTCAACCGACGCGTCATTGCCGTAGTACCTCTTCCCCGCCACCATCGTCATTATGTTGTTAAACGTCAGCTCTGAAAACATAGACTTGAGCTCGACCTTTGCAAAATGATCACGGAAGTTTTTTGAGAGTTTAAGTAATAAGTGTTTGACCTCTTCCTTTCGGATGTTCGAGGATGTATTGAGTCGAGCAGTGGAGAAGATTTCGATGGCACTAATCCGGCGGAGGTTGCGCCAGTGATCGCCATATGGAGAAGCGACTACGGTGGTGTAGTTGTAGCCTATGTGCTTGCCCATGAGCAAACGAGGGCGGTTGGCTAGGACGATGTCATTTTTGGTGAAGCATTAAAACCAGAAAATCTAAGAAGGAAGAGCACAGAGAGTAAGAGAATGTTTCTGTATATTTTTCTATATATATGAAAAAGCAGAGAATACAATCTTATATTCCTCTAATCAGTCAAATGCTAAGATCCTATTTTTTAGGTAGCAAGGACTCATCTCCAGCCATACATACCATCGGAGGCCACGATCCTTCCACTTGGAGAAGGATCGGGTAACACAGTACATCCCAAAACAGATAAGAATAACAGCTGTAAGGTTTCTAAAACAAGAATTAAAACTAGCCGTTACAAGTTTAAAAGGCTAATGGCTATTTCTAAAAATAGCAGTTCTTCATCTTTTCGAATTCTTCATTCTCTTCACTTTCAACATGCAGGATTGTCATCTGCAAGTTGATTTAAGCTTAGTATGCAGCTTAATTCTCAACAGCCTCTCCTAAGCTGCTTACTTACTGGCTTAACTCCAAGCCTCAATCTCAAATGATTAAACCTGTCTTTTGGCAAAGCCTTTGTAAAAATGTCTGCAAGTTGTTCTTCACTTCTGCAGAATTTCAAATCAATCACACCTTCTTGCAGGGTTTCTCTTATGAAGTGATACCTTCTGTTGATATGTCTAGTCCTCTGATGAAAAACAGGGTTCTTTGCCATAGATATAGCCGACATATTATCACAGAACAAAGGTGTTGCCTCAGTTTGCATCTCTCCAAAATCATCAAGAACAAACCTTAACCAAATGGACTGTGCTGTTGCCTCAGATGCAGAGACATACTCAGCTTCAGCAGTTGATAGAGCAACTGTGTTTTGTTTTACAGATGCCCAAGAAAACACTCCACTGCCAAAACTAAATGCATAACCAGAGGTGCTTCTGCTATCATCTTCACTTCCTGCCCAATCTGCATCACAAAATCCAATGAGAATTGCAGATTTGTCCTTCACATACTCAATGCCATAGTTAAGGGTTCCTTGCACGTATCTTAGTACTCTTCGTGCAATTCCCAAATGCTTCTTGGTGGGATTATTCATGAACCTTGATAACAAACTTGCAGCATACATCAGGTCAGGTCTAGTTGCTGTCAAATACAATAGACTTCCCACTATTTTCCTGTAAAGTCCTTCATCAGCTAATTCACTCCCATCCACTTTCTTTAGCTTTTCACCAGTAGGCAAAGGGTAGACACTGGTTTGCAATCTTCGAGCCCAAATTTCACAAGTAAGGACTTAGCATACTTACTTTGGTGTATGAACACACCTTGATCAGTTTGCAATATTCCCATGCCTAAGAAGTGATGTAGAAGGTCGAGATCAGACATTTCATATCTTTCCATCATTTCCTTTTTGAATTCACTGAGCATCTTGTCACTACTTCCAGTATATATAATGTCATCAACATAGATTGACACAATTATCAATCCTCCTTCATCATCAGATCTTGTATATAGTGTGGCTTCACTTGTGCTCTTTTTGAACTTGCACAGTGAGAGATATGCATCAATCTCACTGTACCAGGCTCTAGGTGCCTGTTTAAGTCCATATAAAGCCTTCCTTAACTTATAGACCTTGTGACCTGCATTTGCCAACTCAAAGCCCTCAGGCTGCTCAACATACACTTCTTCCTCAAGTACACCATTTAAAAATGCTGACTTAACATCCAACTGAAATAGCTTCCAACTTTTTTGTGCTGCAAGAGCAATGAGAGTTCGAATTGTGTCTAACCTTGCCACTGGTGCAAAGGTTTCATTGTAGTCAATCCCAGGTTTCTGTGCATACCCTTTTGCTACAAGCCTAGCCTTGTGTTTTTGAACCGTTCCATCCAAGTTAAGCTTAGTTTTAAACACCCATTTCACACCTATACTGGTTTATCAACTGGTCTCTCAACAAGTTCCCAAGTGTTGTTCTTTTCAATCATCTCCAACTCTGCATTCATAGCTTCTTGCCAGGCTTTATCACCTACTGCTTCTTGGTAGTTCTCTGGTTCTATAATACACATGTGACATCTTGCATATATATCTTCCAGAGTTCTGATCTTTACTGGAGTGGAGCTAGGTGTTGAGCCTTGGCTGTGACTTCCACTCATCTCCTCAACTGATTCATTAACAGTGGTGTTTGAATGAGTATCTCCAGCATTATTAAACTGATTTACATCAGTTTGTTCTTCACTAACTTCATTTTCTGCTTCATTCCCTTCAAGATTGAAAGGTATTGAGATAGACTCCCCTTGGTTACTTTCCCACTTCCATGATTTGTCTTCACTGAAAATCACACTCCTTGAGAGTACAATTTTCTTAGATTGCAGATCATACACTCTATATCCCTTTTCACAGCTTCCATATCCCATGAAGATCCCCTTTCTGGTTTTGTCATCAAATTTCTGCCTCAAGGGTGATGGGACATGAGTATAACAGATACAACCAAATACTTTCAGATGCTTAATTCCAGGCTTCCTACCTGTGAAAGCTTCGAAAGGTGTTTTATCTATCACAGATGTTGTGAAGCATCTATTTTGGAGATATACAGCTGTACTCACAGCTTCTGCCCAGAAAATCACAGGGACTCCTTTCTCAGTCATCATAGATCTTGCCATCCAAGGATTTAAATATCGATAATATCGGCGAAATATCGCCGATATTATCGTTTTTTTGAAGATCCGAAATTTTTTTAACTATCCAAATGATTTTCGTCAAAATATCGCGATATTATCGATATTTTCGATAAATATCGATAATATCGCAACATAATACTAAAAAATACTTAAATATGTTGAGAAAACTCAACACATACTTCACTTGATCAAGCTAGGATTTTCTCAGCTGGGGGAATGTGGATTTTATAGGAAGAATTGCTTGCTCACTGCCCTCACATGGGCGATGTGGGACTCCCCCAATGGGAGAGAAAATCAGAATTTTGGCCGAAATTTTACACCCACTTTAAACGGCCATAACTTTGTCAAAACTCAACGAAATCAAGCAAGACAAAAACGAAAGTTGTAGCCCTCGAAGATAAGAAGAGAATGGTACCTCACACGACATCTAAATCGTCGTGGTTTGGCCGGAAAATGCCTCGAAAGTCACTGAGATCGGCGGAAACTGGGTAAGATTCAAATGAGTATAACTTTTTTAATACTCAACTAAATTGAGTGAACTAAAAAGGAAAGTTGTACTACTCGACGAGACGAAGAGATTGATACCTTTCACGCCGGACAACTCGCAGTGGTTTGGCCGGAAATTTCCTCGAAAGCCACTGAGGTCGCCGGAAATTGGGTAAGATTCAAATGAGTATAACCTTTTCAATACGCAACGACATTGAGTGAAACAAAAAGGAAAGTTGTAGCCCTCGAAGAGACGAAGAGAATGGTACCTTACACGACGTCTGACTCGTTGTGGTTTGGCCGGAAATTGCCTCGAAAGCCACTGAGGTCGCCGGAATCTGGGTAAGATTCAAATGAGTATAACTTTTTCAATACTCAACGAAATTGAGTGAAACAAAAAGGAAAGTTGTACTACTCGACGAGACGAAGAGATTGATACCTTGCACGCCGGCCAAAATTCAATTGACACACTCCTGGCTTCCAAAATTCAATTCTTTTACTTTATATAAACTTGAAAAAACATAATCGGCATCCAAATTAAAGTTTAGTCTTATTCTTATGTGTAAGAAATTTAAAGTATCAAATTCGGCACATTATTCTTCATTATTTTATTCACTTCCCTTTTTTTTTTTAATATCCTAAATAAAACCTCCAAATATTGTACTAATTAATTATATATAAATGATTATGGTGTGTTTAAACTTCTTTCATTAATTACTACATATTTTCTATACTCACAATGTTTGCCAGCTCGCTATATAATCAACTTAAATCAGTTAAATCCATCATGCAATGCATTTCCTTCCAATTTTTTGTGATAAACTAATAGATAATTGACTAAATAAACATCCTACAAAGTTTCATTAAAAATTTCCAAGTTTTTCTTACAATTTCCGTGGTTTCCATGTAATTTTTATCGATATCGATATTTTACCGATATTTCCATCCATATTTCCGTGTTTTCGGACTACTGATATTTCCGATATTACCGATATTTTCTTCCTTGTTGCCATCTCACAAATTGTTCTGTTCCTTCTCTCAGCAACTCCATTTTGCTGAGGAGAATAGGCAATGGTTAGTTGTCTCTCCATTCCCATGCTTGTACAGTAATCCAGGAACTCATGTGAGGTGTATTCACCACCTCTATCACTCCTTAATTTCTTCAAACTAAAGCCACTTTGCAGTTCAACAAAAGCTTTGAATTTTTTGAACACATTAAAGGTATCAGATTTATTTCTGAGAAAGTAAACCCAACACATTCTTGAGAAATCATCAATGAATGTGATGAAATACCTATTCCCTCCAATTGACTCATTTTGCATTGGTCCACACAAATCTGTGTGTACCAACTCAAGTGGATAGCTTGCTCTCCACACTTTTCCTTTGTCAAATGACTCTCTGTGATGTTTCCCTGAAACACAACCTTCACACACATCTTCCATTTCTGTCAAAGCAGGTAATCCAAGTACCATTTCCTTCTGTTGCATCTTCTTCATGCTAGCAAAGTTCAAGTGTCCAAACCTTCTGTGCCAGGTTCAAGAGTCTTCAATTACTGATGCTTTTCTTGCTGCAGGTGTCATAGATTCTAGTGACAGAGGGAAACATCGATTTCCTGTCATGATCACCTTTGCTACAACATTGTTGAGGCTCCTATCATCAAAGATAACTGCCATATTACCTCCAAATAGAACATAGTATCCATGCTCCATCATCTGGCCTACACTTAGTAAATTCTCATCCAAACCTGGAACCAGCAATACTTCATTTATGTATCTTTTCCCATGCTGTGTTTCAACCACCAGAGTGCCTTTTCCAGTTGCTTGTACAAGGTCTCCAGTGCCCATTTTGACTTTACAAGATACAGATCTGTCAATGTTGATTAACACAGACTCTTGAGATGTCATGTGATTACTGCAGACACTGTCCACAAACCATACACTTCTATCTTGCATAATTGAAGAGTGACAAGCATAGAACATGGTTCCTATGGTTACCTCTTCTTCTTTTGCACAGTTAGCTACTTGCTTGTGACTATCACAGTCTTTTGCAATATGTCCAAATCGGTTGCATTTTCCACACTTGGCTTTTCCTTTGTATCTGCACACACCGAAATGGTATTTCTGACAAACTTGACACTGTGGTTTCACACAACTTTGACTACTACTTCCTTGCTTGTTCTGAGAGTTGAATCTATTGTTCCAATTTCCTCCAGAATTGTTGTTCCAGCTTGAGCCATTGTTGTTGCTCAAGTTTCCACTTTGAGACCAATTTGATCCCTTTTTGTATTGTCCCTGCCACTTTTGATTTGGTCTACTCTGTGACCCCTTGTAGGTACCCGAAGCTTGGTTATTTCCAACTCTTAGGCTACTAAAGGCTCTCTCAGTTCCTATCAATTTATCCCTTTCATCATGCAGATCTTCCCTTTTATCATAGACTTTGACAGATGCAATGACTTCTTCAACTCTAATAGCATCTAGGTCTCGAGTTTCCTCGATAATGGACACAATGGATTTATACCGCCTACTTAGACTCATTAACAATTTATGCACAATTCTTTGTTCAGTCACATCTTCACCAAGGGATTTCAGATTGTTCACAATTCCAAAAAACCTACCCAAATAGTCATCTAGGTTTTCACTATCTATCATTCTCATATACTCAAAATCAGCCCTAACTGCTTGAAGTTTTACAGCTCTTACCTTTTTATCTCCTCTGAACTCTCTTCTCAGAATGTCCCATGCCCCTTTTGCAGTCTTCTCATTTCTGATGCGAGGGAAAAGCTCATCGGTTATGGCTCCTTGTATGAGACTCAGCGCCTTGGCATTCTTTATTCTGTCTTCTCTGGAGATGGTAGGTGCTTCCACTGGAACTTGCTCAGCCTCACTACCTTCATCTCCAGAATCTTCTTCCTCCTCGAGAATCGGCTGTGGTTGTACTCCAATCTCTACTACATCCCATAGGTCATGCGCTATGAGGATAGTCTCCATCTTGACTGCCCAAAAATCATAGTTTGCACCATCAAACTGTGGAGTTCGTAAATCTCCACCTGAAGAACCTGATCCCACCATTTTCTTGGTGAATACCAGTGAACCAACAATAAAGGAACCACCTTTATCCCCTTTTGGGAATTTTTCAGGAAGAACCTCTCTCACAGTTTCACGCCCCTCTCTGGAATCAGACCTAGGGCTCTGATACCATGTTAAAATGGTATCAGGCTTTATACTTTAGGTTGATTAATACACAAAGATTGAAGCTTTAAAACCAGAAAATCTAAGAAGGAAGAGCACAGAGTAAGAGAATGTTTCTGTATATTTTTCTATATATATGAAAAAGCAGAGAATACAATCTTATATTCCTCTAATCAGTCAAATGCTAAGATCCTATTTTTCAGGTAGCAAGGACTCATCTCCAGCCATACATACCATCGGAGGCCACGATCCTTCCACTTGGAGAAGGATCGGGTAACACAGTACATCCCAAAACAGATAAGAATAACAGCTGTAAGGTTTCTAAAACAAGAATTAAAACTAGCCGTTACAAGTTTAAAAGGCTAATGGCTATTTCTAAAAATAGCAGTTCTTCATCTTTTCGAATTCTTCATTCTCTTCACTTTCAACCTGCAGGATTGTCATCTGCAAGTTGATTTAAGCTTAGTATGCAGCTTAATTCTCAACAATTTTTGGTGAAGCATTCCTGAATTGCGGACGAGGAGGAGACTATGACCACGCGGCGTGAGCCGAACCAGAGGGAGAATATGGGGCCATGTTTTTGGGAGAGGCGGTGTAAGGTTCGGTGGACTGGGAAATTAAGGAGATGGAGGTGGCCGATGATTGGGAGGAAAGGTGGGCTTGGTGGTAGGTTATGTTGAGGTCGTTTTCTCTCGAGGAGGAATTTGAAGGTGAAGAACAGGAAGATAAGGGAGAGGGATATGTAGAACAAGTAGTCTTCCATGGTTGAAATGAGTTGTGAAGAAGTGATATTTATAAGGGGCTTGTATTTGAATCATATGAAATACTTTATTATTTTATTGCATAATTATTGTTAAGTACAAGATAAATTTGACAATAAAAATAAGATTTATCAATAAATTCACACTCAAAAATCAAACCCTAATAAAGTAACAGCACCAGTACAAATCATGTTATTAGAAAATTTATCAGCAATATAGTTTTTATATTTATGTTCATGCTTCTTTTTTTTACACAAAAAATGACAGTACCAAGTACAAAAACAAGAAGTTTCTCACGGCACATCAAAACTTCTTTTGTGTTTCACTAAGTTCTCGATTTTATTTTATGTAGTGTTCTGTCTTTCACTTCTATATGTCTATCATCTCCAGCTCTCCAGCTAACATTTGCATACTATTTGGCATCTGCTATGTGTTTCACTAAGTTTTCTAAACTAAGGATAATTAACAACCCATCACAACAATTAATCTGATTTACATATTTCTATTTTTTTTATTTTCAAATGGGTCTAAAGATAAATTTACATATTGAACTAGGTTTGTGTGTGTAATTTAAGTAGTAAATTTAAATTTAAAGAGATATTAATATTTTATTTAAAAATAAAATGAGTGTAAAAATAAGTTATGAGCAAAAAAAAAGTTAGATAGGTTCAAATGAAACTTTCCTATTTATAATGATAAAATGGACTAATTTTCTTAGTCCGTAAATTTCGGTTTATTTAAATCCTTCGTAAATTTTAGTTTATTTCAGTTTTTTCATTTTGTTTTATTAATTTATTTTAAGAAGAGAAAGAGATGGTGCGAAAATTCTCTCTCTATAAAAGGGTGTGGTACGTGATATTAGAGCAGCTCCAGCGGGAGCTCTTGCTCGAGGGACAGGCTCCGGAACAGGGTTTGATTGCCCGAGGGAGGAAGTCCATCATTGGCTGGCGAGGGAGCCCGAGCACCCCCGAGCGCCAGGCCCGTCGATTCTCGCCGGCCCGAGAGCCTGAGGTGGGTCTGATGTCAGCTGACATCAGACACCTTTTTTAATGTTTTTTTTTCTGTCAGGCCTCGAACTCCTCTAACATCGCGCCGATCTCGTCCACTATCCCCATCCTCTCCAGCTCCAGCGGTGGTCACGGTGGAGGAGGAGAAGGAGCTGACGGAGGATTCGAAGCATGCGATTCCGGCGTCTGCGATGCTAGAAACGGAGACTGCGCAGTGTAGGACATGGCGGTGGAGGAGAAGAAGGGGAGGGAATGATAGGTAGCATAGTAGATCTGATTAGGGGTGGGTTCGGTTTAAATCGGTTCGGTTTTTTGCCAAAACCGAAACCAAACCGAAATTTCGGTTCGGTTCGGTTTGGTTCAGTTTTTTTTCGATTTTTTTCGGTTCAGTTTTTTTTCGGTTCGGTTTCTGTTTTTTGTTTTTTATTTTTTCAAAAAATGAAAAACATTGAAATTTTAAATTTTAACATATCCAACACAATCATAACATAAGCATTCTAACTAAAATCAAAGACAATGAAAATAAACATTTAAAGTTGAACAAAAATCATCAATCAAGTCTTCCAAAGTCCAAACTAACAACCTCACAACACAAAAATCGTATAAATGACTTAGAAAATTTTAATTGTATGATGTTGTTCAAAGATCAGGGTTGTTTGCTTGTAACTTCATGTTGACAACTTGATTAGTAAAAGTAATGTGTGGGTGGATTTATTTAGTGTGTGTTGGATTCTTTTCCATCACAAATTACCCAAGTAATCTACCCGAAATAAATGTTTATGGATTCTGTTACATGTTATATGAGAGTAGATTTGGAAAAGAAAGCTGGGGCAGAAGTAGACAGTGCTATGGAGATGGATGTAGGTACTTCAAGAGGAGGTTTAGTTCCGGAACCTTATATGGGGGAGAAATAATAGGTTAGGGTTTAGAGTTTTTATAGGCCTTTTTAAAATATTTTGAGTTTAAAGTTTGGCAACACATTGGGTTTAGCACATTTTAACTTACAAATTGGGTTTAGAAAATAATACCCAAAACAAATAATTAAATAAAAAAATTAATTTAATTAATTCGGTTCGGTTCGGTTTCTAGATCACTAAAACCGAACCGAACCAAAAGAATTCGGTTCGGTTCGGTTTTTTCAATTCGGTTCGGTTTTTTCGTTCGGTTCGATTTTTTCGGTTTCTGTTCAGTTTGGTTTTCGGTTTTCAGTTTTTTGAACCCACCCCTAGATCTGATGATGCGATTCCGGCATCGGCTTCAATGGTGGATCACCCAAATTGTGATCTGATGATGCATGTAAGAGAATGAGAGAGATTAAAGAGAGAGGTTTCATAAATGAGGGGGTTGCGTCGGTAGAGAGAGAGAGAGAGAGAGAGAGAGAGAGAAAGGGAAATGAGAGACAGAGGGCTAGGAAACATGAAGAGTGTTCTGAAAAAAAAATGAGAGAATGGTTGTCGGTTGAGTTTGGAAAAATGAAATGGAAAAGGAATAGGAAAAAAGAAAAAGGAAAACAATTAAAAATTATTTTGTATTATTTTATAAATAAATAAAATACTAATATTTTATTACCAATTGCCAGGGCTATTCAATGCAGGGGTGGAGATGCAAAAGGCAGCCAGGAGAATGCATTATTCATTCAGGGCAGTTACTGTTCACTAGGTGGATTAAATAGTGAATAGCCTGGGGGGAGGGCTCCTACACTGGAGTTGCTCTTATTGCTTAAGTAATTACGAAAGTTCTATGAGGCACTAAGGAATTATATTTAAATGGGAGCCAGATAACTATTCTGAGTTCTAAACTATCATACTTATCTATATATGGCAAACAGACATACATATTTATCACATCGTTTGAATATAACTATATAGAATATACATGTGAACTTGATCCAGCATGTACATGTGGGTGTTGCAGAAAACAACTTATCCATTGGGTCATTACTATTTGTTTTTTTCTTATGTGTGTGGACATTGCCTGTTTCGGATAGCAAGGGGGACCATATGTACCCGTTCGTCTCTATAATTTTTGGATCTGATTGTTTTACATATATCTTTTCTGCTAAATAGCCAAAATGGTCATTGAGATTTGCATAACTCATCACTTTAGTCCCTAACATTTAAAATAGATAAAAGTGGTCCCTGAGATTGTTTACCATCCATCGTTTTGGTCATTCTGTTAAAAACTCTGTTAAGTGTTTCGGAGCTCTTGGCCAGAAGTTTGGGCAATTTTCAAAGCTTCGTAACTCAATCGTTTCTTAACCAAATTTGACCCATAATATATCAAAATGAAGATAGGAAAGTGTAGAATATGATTATACCTATTTGGGTAGCCCAATGGCTGCCGGAAATGGCCGGAAAATAGCCTCAAAGTTGACTGGTCCGAGGAAAAACTGGAAAACTCGCCGGAAACTGGGTAAACTTTAAACGTTCATAATTTCTTCAATACTCAACGAAATCAAGTGATTCAAAAACGAAAATCATACTTCTCAATGAGACAAAGGGAATGGTATATTTTTAGAGGCTAAATCTTCGTGGTTTGGTCGGAAAACAGCTCGAAAGTGGCTAACTCGAGACCAAGACAGTCACTTTCGAGCCTTTTTCCGACCAAACCACGGCGAGTTAGCTGTGGAAAAAGGTACCATTCTCTTCGTCTCGTCGAGAAGTATGATTTTTGTTTTTGAATCACTTGATTTTGTTGAGTATTTAAGAAGTTATGAACGTTTAAATTTTACCCAGTTTTCGGAAAGTTTTCCAGTTTTTCTTCGGACCAGTCAACTTTGAGGCTATTTTTCGGCTATCTCCGGAAACCATTGAGCTTCCAAATAGGTATAATCGTATTCTACACTTTCCTATCTTCATTTTGATATATTATGGGTCGAATTTGGTTAAGAAACGATTGAGTTACGAAGCTTTGAAAATTGCCCAAACTTCTGGCCAAGAGCTCCGGGACACTTAACGGAGTTTTTAACAGAATGACCAAAATGATGGATGGTGGACAATCTCAGGGACCACTTTTATCGATTTGAAATGTTAGGGACCAAAATGATGAGTTATGCAAATCTCATGGACCATTTTGGCTATTTAGCCTATCTTTTCGAACTATAATAGTACAAATTGTGGTGTTTAATGTACTTTTCATTTTAGTCTTGACCACTAATTTCAACAATATTTTTTATACGTACGCACACAATCGGTAGCATAAAGTTTAGGACAAGATGAAGTTTGTTTGACCATATTTAGGGCCTTCGTATTTAGACTTCGTATAAATACTCGGGGGACTCAAATTTAATTATGTAATAAATAAAGGGGAAAATATGTAATAAGTGAGGAGTCCTTATTCTATAAAATGACTCCTCACTCTCCTTATTAAGGGGGGAAGGTTTAGGCCATGGGAAGAGAATAGGCTAGAGAGCACACTGCCTCTAGCCTTCTTGTATATTCACCATTCAGAGTGAAACAATATCAACATCAGTGTAGACGTAGCCCAAACATTGGGGTGAACCACGATACATCTTGTGTTCTTTACTTTCTTGCAGATTCACGGTCGGATTTACGTTGTTCCAAGACCTTCCGGTTTTGTGCATTAACAAAGTTTATGCACCACTTTACTTAATTATTTTCCACTTTACCTAATTATTCTTGGCTTCCTAGCTACTCTCCCTCACACTTTATAACATTTTGTCAAACATCTTATTTCGTTAATTACACTCACGCTTAAATATAACATTATTTGACAATATATGTCACATCCCGGCTCGAGCCCCCACCACATCCTGGGCTCGATTCCGCCGTAACACGATATTGTCCGCTTTGGGTCCCGACCACGTCTTCACGATTTTGTTTCTAGGAACTCACACAAGAACTTCCCAGTGGATCACCCATCATAGGATTACTTTCGCGCGAACTCGCTTGACTTCGAAGTTCCGATGGAACCTAAAGCTAGTGAGCTCCCAAAAGGCCTTGTGCTAGATAGAGATGGGAATATACATATAAAGCTTACATGATCCATTC